CTATATATATATATATATATATATATATACATATATGGAGGTTAAATGAAGAATTTTTAGACATGTTTTTCTTACAGGTAGTTTAGAAAAATTTAGGTAGCTTCAAACATTATTTGTGAGTAATATAGAATATTTTAGATGGTTTTATAGATGTTATAAAATATTTTAAGTATTTTTAATATTTATATATCACACTTAGAAAGATTTGCCAAAACAAAAAAAAAAATTAAATACACATTGTAAATGTTAATAGAAACAGTATTCACTGTTCGTCTTTGATCTCAATTACATATAAAATTTCTTTTTATTTGTCACATAATTATTGGTGTGCATTAATCTCGATTTGTATTTGTAAAATTGATAGCTTTTGCATTAATTTCAATTTGTATTTGTAAAATTGATAAATTGTTAAGCGTACAAATTCTTTTTTATGGTAACAACTTAATAAAATGATAGTAATTTTTGAAGTATTGTGTAGTCAAATCTTCATATGGAATTAACATCATGATTATGGTATCTTATAAATCTTCTATAAAACAACATATTTTTTTACATATTCTATCTATATGTACATATATATACTCACATATATGTAACACATGTTAAGTTTAATTATTTTTATACATATTTTCTTTACAAAATCTCTATATATATATAAAGTATTAACATTTACTAAAAATAGTAACAAAAATTTAGGAAACATTTAATGCATGCTATTTTTGGAAATGTTTTATACTATATGCATTAATTGATTCTATTTACACGTTCTCAAATAAGATCAAATAATTACTTAAATAAATTATTAATATTTGCAGTATTTTCATTTATATTTACAAGATTGATTTTTGTGATTCATGTTAATAATATTTTGGTCAAGACAAATATTATTTTATTAATATTTGTAATACTTTCATTGATATACATTATAATGAATTACAAGATTGATTTATGTGATCCATGTTGATAATATTTTGATCAAGATAATATTACACCATATTTTAAGTTCTAACCATAATATTAGTTTTTTTTTCACAAATATTCACTTTTTATCCAAAAATATTTATGAAAAATCGTAACAAATTAGGTAGATTTTTTTTTTTCAAATAATCAGACAAAATCAAATTGGTGAATTAATATTTGTCAATATATTTGTTTCTTAAGCTTTATTTTGTTAAATATAAATAATAAATAGTTTTTCAAATTAATATAATTTACCATTTAAGAGATATTGATCAGATACAATAAATAGTTTTACTAATGGTAAAAATTTTAATTTTGACACATATTAACTATTGTTTCGCATTTATTTGTATATTATTGTCACCCATGACTATATTTTTTCATTTTTTTTTTATTTTGATTTATTTCTATAATTAAATTCTTTTAAAATATATTTTCATTGTTGAGTATGCTAAATAAACCATAAAACCTTATAATGCGAACTAGAAAAATCTTGATCATATAAGGGATCGAGTTTTTAGGATTTTCTAAATCGAAGTTTTTTAATTAGTATATAAAATTAAATTCTAAAAAAACATGTGTATATTTTGTAAAATATTTATACATTATTTAATATTATATTTATTTACATATTTTAAATTGATTACATAAATAAATAATGTAAACGTGCATTAAATATTTTTCATTACATAAAATAAAAATATAAGGAAGACGTACAATTTCTATAACTTTATAAATAATAATGACATTATATGACATAAAGTGTATAATAAAATAATAATTAAGTATTATATGGTGAACAACAATGAATAAAATTGTTATTCTCTCTTGTATCAAGGAATAAATATATGTATTAAAATCAAATTTAAATTAGGATAAATGTGTCAGTGAAATAATATATTAATTATTTTAGTATTTTGACTAAAAAATAATTTTGATTAAAAGAGGTGCAAAATATATTATAACCTTATTGTTTATTATACTTAAGCTGATTAAAAGAGATGAAAAATAAATGATAATCCTATTGCTTTATATACTTAAACGGACAAAGCATGTAAAGTAAAATAACACATTTAATATTTTTGTCCCGTGGGGTACATACTAGTTAATATATAAGGAGGGATTTACTTTTTTGTTTATTTATTTCGGATAGTAAAAGGGCTAACTTGCCATACAAGCAGTTTTATACCGTGCTTGAAGCAATAGGTAAACTAAGTGCAACATTATACAGTGTTGAAGCAACAGGTAAATTAAGCGCGTTACGATATATATACAATTGGTCTCATATTGTAAAATCCCTTCGACTGGGGATAATACGATGAATGGGAAAGCCGAGCTTTGAAGTCCTTACACAGATTGGTTACCCTATTACAATTAGGAAAAACATTAATTAATTCCTATTATATAAACTGACTGCTAATTCTAAGGGATATAGGAAAATAAAAATGAATTAATTCCTATTACAATTAAGAAAAACATTAATTCCTTTTATATAAACTGACGCACCCTGAACAAAAATATGAATTGTGTAGTATCTAATTAGTAAGTTAAACTCGATCGGCAGTATAAAAAAATATATAACTATGTCGTCCCCGCCGCCGTGTTTTAGGTGTTCCAAATCACTACTATTGCTGCTCTTCTCCCTAGTGATCTGCCTCTCCTCTCTCCCGCTGTCCCCGGCGGCGCCTTCGCCTTCGCCTTCGCCTTCGCCTTCGCCTTCGCCTTCGCCTTCGCCCTCCCCCGCCCCCATTCCTTCCCTCCACCGCCACCACGTGCCCCACTTCACCTACATGGGCAGGATGGCCCCACGCTGGCACAAGCGCACCCTCGAGTACGCCTTTTCTCCCGACCACGGGATCAACTACCTGGACCCCGGAGAGGTGAGGGCCGTGTTCGCCCGCGCGTTTGCCCGCTGGTCCGCGTACATCCCCGTGACCTTCACGGAGACGGAGGACTACGAACAAGCGGACGTAAAGATCGGGTGGTACAGCGGGGACCATGGGGACGGGGCCCCGTTCGACGGGGTGAGCAGTGTGCTGGCCCATACGTTCGCCCCCGAGGATGGGCGGCTCCACCTGGACGCGGACGAGATATGGACTACTGACTTGCGCAAGGAGCCGCCGTCGGAGTATGTGGTGGACCTTGAGTCGGTGGCCACGCACGAGATCGGGCAC